AAATATCTATTTAAAATAGGTGCGAATTTACCCTTAGCGTAGGGTGGCGAAATTTCCCCAGACCGTACTTTTTTAGAAATAATTATTTTTCTTGCGAAATTAGGCGCGAAGTTAAAAATCACTGACGCAGAAATGCACATTATAGCACTGTGTATTATATAAAAAATCGTGTATCTTATTCCTTTTGAATTGTGGCATACAGAAAAAATTTCGTCGAGAACTAAATGTAGCTTTTGAACTGTTAAAACACATTTAATATTATAGCTTAATTATCTTGGCCTTCTGTGCAAAACAAATTCATTGGTTGTGTCTGGCCGTCTTGAAGGACTAAAACAAAAAAAATTATATATTTTTACGACTTATGGATTCCGAGATATTGCAGGTGACGAGATTGCCCCTGTGACGAAATTCCCCCACTCTCCCCTACTTTGTTTTTATTATTACTATTAATTTTCTTCACAGAAAACAACCAAAAAAAGGACAGATGTAGAATAAAACGCTAAAACGCAATCGAATACAATTTCTTTTAACATAATACTTGATATATGGTAAGATTTCCGGAAAATAAGAGTTAAATTGAGCTTTTCTAGCTAGAAGTATAAAATCTTTAATGGATCTGTCCTAAAAAAGGCTTGAAATACCAGCCCTGGTGTACAAATCAAAGTGTTTTTAATATAAACCCAAAAATAATAATAAAACATTTATATTAAATTTAAGTCTTTGTTTTAATTTTCTAAAATCGCTGTAAGCTTTGTCCTAGCCTTTGATTTCTCTCCTTGAATTATCTGTTAATGATGTGATCTCGGCCAACGGCTAGAATTGCAGCATTTCGGTTAATAATTGCACTCGGCCGGCGGGCAAAGGCGGCGAGGACTTTGAACACTTCGGCCAGCGCTTCTGCGGAGGATAATTATTAATGGCCATGTTAACAGCGGCAGGAGGAGGAACAGAATCAGTAGAATCAATGGAAACAGATACAAAACCAGGCGATCTGATGATCCAAGAGGGGGGGATTTAAAAGTTTAAGGCTGTCAGGCGGATTGAAGGACATGCCAATGGAGGCCCGCTTCAATCAGACGTGTGGTATTATCTGGATGTGGTGGGACCCTTTTGGGTTAGGACGACGACAACGACGACTAGCCAATGTGGGCAAACAAACAAATCTTGGCTGTCACGGGCATTCAATTCGAGAGTGAATGGAGGACATGGCAATGGTAATCCTTGTGTGCGTATGTGAAAATCTCTCTCACGTTAGTTGGCCATCGTGTTGCGGATATGAAACATATCTCCGGTTAGCAGGCAGGACATTTCCGTTGGCCCACCCACTACCACTCCCGGCCATCTCCATTCAGCTGTCATAAATCCCATGTTCGAGAGTTGGGCCTTGCGGCAGGATATTGCCCAAAAGGATACGCGCTGCCCGCTCGACTGTGTAACAACTTGATGGGCATTTGAATGCAGCCTCGTGTCATTTAGTTGCCACAAAGAACTGGGCCCTCGTCCTCGAATTATCCGCCAGAACATTTCAATTGAGTGGCCCAAAGAGTGAGACACCTGACACTTAAGCGCCAGGATCGGAGGAGGGATGATGAGCAACGAGGCATCCCGGCATCGAGTCATCCCGGCTGGTCGAAGGCGTTCGTCTGACAAATGAGACAAAGTGACACAAGTCAATCAAAGGCCACGAAAATGCGCCGCATATAAATTCCATTCGATTGGCTCTGACGCGGCCCAATTTACTGCCCACCTCACTGGAAAAAATCTTTGAGATCCGCATCAATTTGGTCAAAAGTTGTAGTTTCTTAAATATATTTTATTCATATAAAAACGCTATTGCCATAATGCTATATTTTTTAACAAAGTTATTCAACTTCTCTAAAAAGGTGTGTAAAACTATGCAATAAAAAATCTATTTTTTATATAAATTTAAATGTATTTTAAAATACTAAAACCAAATTACAAAGAGCGTTATTCTACACCAGAAGGTATAAACCTTGATAAAATGGGACCTCCACAATTGTAAAATTTGTATCAACATTTTTCTCAGTGCCCTAAACCTCGGCGGTAACAATGCGATTGGGCCTGTCTGGCCCCTTGGGGCCGAAATGTATTTAAATGAATTCCGTCAGCGTCAGCCGCGGCCCGAGTTGGCCCAAAGTGATGGACGCATTTAAACTGTCAATACGCATCCAGCTCAGGTTCTCAAGGAAGGTTTCTCCAGAAGGCCAAGACGAGGAACGCAATCGCGAATGCGAAGGCTAACGCGCGTAAGCTTGAAGTCACTGAAGTGGCGGAGACAATGAATCCTGTCAAATCAAGGCAACCGGCGTGGCGAAAACGCGCGAACCGGCCACCAGATATCCATATATCCACAATCCAGAGTCCTCAACCATCCCGATAAGAAGGACCGACCAGCGTCCCTTTTTTGGGGGCGGGGCAACCACTCAGGTTGCCAAATCCATTAGAGTTAAATAAATTTTGATTTTAAATTCAATTTGCGAGTTAACTAGGTGGAGTGCTTGGGGGACAAAGCTGCCCAGTGGGTGGTTTGAAAAGTATTAAATAATTATGTACCCAAATAAGAGCTTACGTGAGTAAGATGATAAAAGTAGTTCAAAAATTGTGCACACAACACTTTACTTTATTCATGAAGTGAGAAAAACGTTCCATTATAAATGCATTTGGTTTTTCATTGTTGTGAAAAACATAGTCTACTTTCTTATTCTTAAGCATCCCTCGCAGGTATTTCTTTTTCCCATTATTTTGCACCTCAGCGGCTTAAAAGTTCAAAGCATTCGGCATTTTACAAGGACGTCGATTACTAAAATTCCAAAGGGGTTTTTGATAAAAACTTTGGGATTCTTATCAAAGCAGTTAGAATGGCAAATTTATATCCGGATGTCTTAGGCTTAAATTTATCCTAAACAGTTGAACACAGAAAGTAAATTACTTACTACTTTTTTAATTTATTAAAAAATAAAAAAATTCAAATGTCTTAAAAATGTTAGTCAAGGATAGTCAAGATTTGTAGATGTTAGCACTAACTTTTGTTAGTTTTTATTTTTTGTTTGTTTTGTTTTATTTTTAAAATAGGGGTTATATGAGCTTATTAATATTTCATAGGACACTGATCCCCCAAAAGTACCCCCCTTTTGGCACACCCCTGACTACCATGAGCGGCAAGGACAGGCGGCTCGCCGGCGACAAGTGATGAGTGAATGCAAAGAATTTGAATATTGTGCCGCGACTACAGTTGACATAAATCGTCAATGACAGCAACATCGCCTCTCCGTTTGGCCTTAAACACGCAACCGAGGTGGAGGGGAAGGGATAGGGTGTATTCCGATCCAGGGACTGTCGATGGGACCTGGGTCGTGAAATGGAATGGATTGGATGGGGAGTGGCAAGTCCATAGAACACGACAGACAACTGTAATCCGCGGCATTGTATCGAGGATGATTGCTCGCGGGTCCGTTTGGCCTGTCAGCGGTCCTTTCAAAATCAATTCTAATCGATTTAGGACACTTTGACAGCGCTTATTGGCAGCATGCGCGTGGCCGCGATACCAACAACACCTTGCCGAATTTCCGACTCCACGAAATGTCAACAGCATTTTGGCTTAAACGGCCGCAAGGTAGTTAAGAGAACAAAATACAAAAATACAAAATAAATAAACGGGGGCCGAAAAAGATCCGAAAAATGCGAACAAGAACAAGTCCGCGGCAGCATTATCATTATCTCAATGGAAGCTGATTGAAAACAGATAATTAAAATCTTCTAATTAGGCGGCATGTTCACGCAGATTGCCGTGTGTGTTACCACGACCACTGTCGGCTGTCAGTGGCAACAAGTTCATAAATCTTGGCTCCAACAAATCGTTTTGCAACATGAGAGAACATTACACGTAAGAGCCAGCAGCCCAAGCAGCAGCCAACAAAAGACCCGCGGAATAAAACTCGCAAAAAGTTGGCCAACTACAAAGTTATGGCTGGCGACACTGCCAATTGGGGATCCTAAAATCGGTCCGTTTTTGTTCTGACTCTGGTTGGTGTGGGAATTTCTTATTTTTTATCAATGTTGGGCCAAGGAGAATTTTATAAAAAATCTTTTTTCTATTTCATGTGTGAACCGCTTAAACTGAACCCTTGAACCCTTTCAGCTAAGCTTTTTACTATAACTATATGATTAATAATAAGCCAAAATAGTAAATGCAATTTGAAAAGACAATTTCCAACCAATACTTGATACGTTTTTGAAACAACCTTTTCCGACCCCATAATCGGGATAACTAGGGAAGTCGATATTTCCTTTTAGGTCTGTGCGTACAGTTTAAAAGCTTGCGATTTGAAACTGTCAGAGATCTAGTTCGATACGCGCCCCGATCCGACGTCTATATCCTATAGCTTCCATAGAAACAATAGGGTGAAAAAGGTCAAAAAATTATGTTTTTCGGGTTACTATTTGGGTATATTTTATTGTTTATTATTTGTATTTTATTTTTACTCTAATCACATTTTCTTTCCTAAAATCTGCACGGGTATTAAAACTTCATATTGCCGTTTTAAATGTACTTAAAATTTCACAATTAGAACACATGCACTTGCTGCACGTTTGTGTCTCTTCTTCTTCGTTTTTGAATTTAAAATTAATTTTATTTTAAAAGTATCCTTTTTCAGTTTTCTAATTTTGCAAATTTGAGGCAGCGCTAGACCCATCCAGCATACCGAGCATATCAAACTATCTTAATTATAAATAAATAATTATTTATTTATTATATTTTAAAAACGCCAATTAATATTAAGTTTAAAGTTAAATTTAAATTATAACGGTTTCAAGAAGTATGCTTTAAATAATATTTCTCGTTCTTAATTGAATGGGTTGTGTCTCTGCTTGACGAAGGAAATAGTCGTTCACCGAACCAATGTAATTTACGTATGGGGGTATGTACAAGCTAATGAAGATCTACATTCGTGAATAATATATCTGGCGGGTCATTTAAATTCTGTATTCACTCCATTTATTAATTATTTCATTGAATTTTCGCTAATACATTACATTTTTACTTCATTAAATGCATTAAAATTAAGAAAAATTCAACTTCAAACATTGGCTAAATTGCCAATGATTTTCTGGTAAATATCCACACCTTTTAGGTATGTCTCCGCATGGAGAAACTCATCGTGATCATGAAGAAGAACTGGGGTGTTATTCATTGGCGAGAAACCCAAAGCTGGAATGCCCTCATTGCGAAGGTAGCGACTGTCGGTGCCACCAGGAAACACCTGAAGTTTGGTCGACAGACCCCTAACAAATAATCGAAATAGAATTAAAATATTTGTAACATAATATAAAAATACGATACTCACAATTCCTCGGTGGCGCTCTTGAAGGCAACCCAAAAGGGATTTGAATCATTCGTGACAGTTGGTGGAATGTGATCTTTTCTCCGAATTAATCCAAAATCAAGCTCAATATCGCCGCCAGCCTCTTCGCACCATTTAGCCAGCTGAAATATATTAACTATAATTAAATATGAAGATTATTTAAATGAAATACCCACATTAGCTTCAAACTCGGAGACATTAGTGTCCAAGGACAATCGAATATCGAAACAGGCGGTCAGCAAGGGAGGAACGACATTGCTCTGAACTCCGCCATCCACGGATGTCAAGTTAATGGTGGTCACATCGCCAATCTGTAACTCTGGGTTATCCTTCAAACGCTTCACTTGTTCCGCCCGGAATTCCATCATCTTGCTGGTTATATAGCTTAATTTCTCGCCCGCCGTATTGGGCATCAACAGCAAACCATGTCCTGCGGATCCACTGATTTTAAAAATCACACCTGGAAAATCCTTTTTGTAAGTCTTAATCTCCATAAGGTTTGCATTTCACTCACGTTTGACTGTTCGCTCTGCATAGAAAACGGGTAACTCCGAAGTGGGCGAAGCAATTCCCTCATCCAGGGAAAATCCAATGTTTAAGGATTTAAAATCCTGTGAGCTAACGAAAGGAAGCATTCCTTTTCGGCCACCTAGTTCCTCATCTGAATGAGAAGGACTTTAAAAATATAATTAATGTTGATAAGAAAAGATAAATTTACCTGGCACGAAGGAAATGTGAATGGTTCGCTTGAATTTAGATCCCTTATCCTTCAAAGCCCTGATGGCCGCCAGATACTGCATTCCCACGCACTTCATATCTTGTGATCCTCTGGCAAAAATGCGACCTTCCTCATCGATATCCGCCCCAAATGGTGGATGCGTCCAGTTTTCGGGGAATACGGGTACAACATCCATGTGGGAGTTCAGTAGAATACTCGGCCATTTCTTTTCAATACCCTCCCAGGTCAGAACCACCACTGGGTTTTGTTTATCCAATGGATAGAAGACCTTGATGGGAAGATCCAAGTCCTTAGCCTGACACCTTAAAAACTCCACACAAGGCTCTAAACAAATATAATTTAGGTCTTTATTTTGCCACTTTTTTAATTTGTTTTAATATTTTACCCACCATAATCGGGATTGGGGTGAACACTTGGAATACGCAGATATTCGCGGAAATATTCGATCTCCTTATTGGAATCCCACTTCTTGGCGGCCATTGTGTTTCTATCGAGGGCTCAGATACAACTGAATCCTATGCTAAAACTAGGCTAATGAAGGTACATTATTATTATCTCTAGACGTTATTATCTCACGACAAATCCATCATAAACACAAGCAATAAATGCCAAAGGTTTGTTAAAGACATCTCTTCAAGAAGTTTATTTTTATCTCATAACCGTTATCATATACAAAAAAGGTGGCAAAAAAGGGAGTAGATAAAGGGGATTAACTAGACATTAGCTACGTTGCTTATAATTTTCTGAAATATTTGGATGCCCCGCAGATAAATGTCCGCCTGGATAAACTCATCGTGATCGTGGAGGAGAACGGGTGTCTTATTCATGGGGGAGAAGCCCAAAGCTGGGATGCCAACAGCACGAATATATCTACTGTCAGTTCCACCGGTAAATATTTGTGGATTGATGGACAGTTGTCTAAAAAAAATGCATCATATTATAAGATTAAAAGAGATGGTGTGATAAGATATACTTACAACTGATCAGTGGCGTTTTTGAAAGCCACCCAAAAGGGATTACTATCATCGAGGGCGGTGGGCGGTACTTTAGGTTGCTTTTGTTCGTAGGTAATCTCGATACCACCACCCACATCATCACACCATTTGTGGAGCTTTAAATGTGTACAAAGGTTAATAAATGAAAACTTTAGATCATTAGAGTACCTACATTGGCCTCAAACTCCTCTATATCTAGATCCAGAGCCAAGCGACAATCGAAACACACCATCAGCAAAGGAGGCACCACATTGCTCTGAACTCCACCACTGACTTTGGTTAAATTAATCGTCGTCACATCGCCAATTACCAACTCTGGATTGTTCTCCAGTCTCTGGACCTGAGTCTTACGAAAAGCCATCATCTTTCCAACTATGTAGTTGAGCTTTTCACCAGCCGTGTTGGGCAGTAAAAGGGATCCATGACCTGCAGACCCACTGATGTGGAAATATACACCTTTTTTGGAGGGGAGAAGATATAACAAGTATTTTTATTAAATCTATAAAATTCTTCTTAAACTTACGCCATACTGCCCGTTCTGCATAGAAAAGAGGAAAATCGTCCTTCGGTGATGCCAATCCCTCGTCCATTGCAAATCCAACATTAAGTTCACGGAAATTCTCAGTGGGCACGAAGGGTCTCATTCCATGACGACCACCCATTTCTTCATCTGATTGGGTATTTATAATTTTAGAATTTAAATATTATTTTAACTTTATCTACTAACCCGCTACGAAAGAGATGTGGATAGTTCGTTTAAATTTTGCTCCACTTTTTTTCAGCGCCCTGATGGCTGCAAGATGCTGCATTCCCACGCTTTTCATATCCTGTGTTCCTCTGGCGAAAATGCGACCCTCCTCATCGATCTCTGCTCCAAATGGTGGGTGGGTCCAATTTTCAGGAAACACGGGAACTACGTCCATGTGTGAGTTCAGCAAAATGCTGGGCAACTCGGGTTCAAGACCCTCCCAAGTTAAAATCACCACTGGATTTCGTTCATTTGCTGGATAAAAAACCTTGAGTGGCAGATCGATTTGCTCGGCCTGACGCTTGAGAAATTCGACGCATGGTGCTATAGATTTAATAATAAATAATAACTGAAATCATTTTCTATCTAGTATATGCATTTAAAACATTTGCAACTGCTGTTAAGCTTTACTATTATAAATAATATTTGTTAGAAATCATTAAATGCACACGATTTGAAATATTTGTCAAATGAAATTCTCATTGCACTTGGTATATTTACTTATCTCCGAAATACTAACTATAGTCCGGATCGGGATGAACACTTGGAATGCGCAGATACTCGCGGAAATACTGGATCTCCTCATCGGATTCCCATTTGTTGGTGGACATTTTAATGGATTCCGGGGTACTACTAGTATATACGATCCGTTGCGACTGACAGCTAGCTGCCTACTGACTTGTGTTAGCTAGTGTCGGAGTCGAGTTCCAGTGCCCTAGTACTAATAGACTTATCTCTCGACGATCGTAACGCCAACGCGCGACACAGATAATTTTATCAAATTGAGAACGAGAATTTTGGATGGTGGAAAACTCGTTTACGTCAACGTAGCTGGGGGGATTATTTATTTTATTCTATGACAACAGTCGAAACTCTTTGATTGGAAGCCATTTAATTTGTGGAAAAGCCATATATATTGTTAATAGAAAATAACATTCCTTCAGAGAATAATTTCAAATAGTTTTTATATTGTAACGGTATTGTTGTACACTCAACAAGCTTTATTGCTTCACTTATATTCTGGATTTACTGTACAACTCTGACCCTGCACTTTGTGTGTCTCTTTTCCTCTCTGTTATCGTTTAAATTCTATTAGTAAATTTGTTATAAGGTCGGTCGTTGGCTCTAAAGTTCAATGTTTATATTCTGATACCGTTTTTCAAACCTCACGCAGACCCCGATTTCTTTTTGTTATTTTACTGATTTACGCATACTTACGGATAAAGTTTTCAGTCCTTTGAAAATCTTTGATTTTATTGGATTTTATTAATTTCCGATTTAATTCAAATTTAAATACAATAGGAAATTTATTTATTAAATTTACAATTACTTCATACATCTTGGCGTGTACATCGAAACTTAAAGATTCACTAGAGGCTTATATGCGAAAATACCGAATCGTGATCCCTATTAGATCCTCATGCCTTGCGCTCGAAAAGGACGGGGAATGGCTTGTCCTTCGGCGCCTGCAGCCAATTGTCCTCCGAATACTTGACGTTGTTCTCAGTCTCGATGACGTGGAAAGTGTAGGCGTGCCGGCTCTTTTGTGAGCGATTCGGCTCACTTTTGTGCACTACATTTCCGTGAATGAGGATGCAGGTTCCTAGAAGAAAAAGATGCACAAAATGGTAAAATTAAATACTGAGTAATTTATTATCAAGATTTTATTTATAATTTTAAATGTTTAGCTTCAGTTTCTTATGTTAATTAAAAAAGGAAACCAGATAATTAAATAGCGGTAAGTATAAGTGTTGACTTTTTGACTTTCCACAGTAAAAAGCTAAGAAGAGTTGATGGAGAAACCCCGAAAAAAATAACACTGGGCCAAAAATAGATCACACAAAATTTCTAAGGAGATAAAACAGCTAAATAAATAAGTATTTGCTTTTGTTTTAAAGAATCATAAATAAATAACTTTTTGAGTGGTTTATATGCTATGAAATATTCCCTAGTTATGAAGAAAATATATTTAAGATTACATCACATCTTAGAAAAAATTGTCCCTTAAAAATTATTTAAAGTGTGTGCAATTCTATTTTAGGTCAAGTAATATATTTTATTTGTGAACTCACCCTTGCTGACTTGCATTGGCGTGAAGCTGGACTGCGGGTAGATGGGAGCTGCCCGATCGTAGACCATCAGTTCGCTGGCCTCCTTGTCGGGATTGCGGAGGTAGCGCCTGTGGACGCCGCTCTTGTGCGATCCCTTGATGAACTGGAGACACCCGTTCTGCAGGGTGCAGTCCTCGAGGGCGATCCAAAAGCCCACCGCTGAGTTGGGATCGGTGTGCAGGAACCAGGAGTCTTGATGCGGGGTCACCTCGCCACCCACTCCGGGATTCTTGTAGATGTACATGCTTTGGCAGACGGCGGGACGATTGTAGTTCAACTGCCAGCAGATCTCGCGAATCCGGTTGCTGAACGTGATCGCATTGAAGGCGGGGTGCTCCACGTGCAGGGCGTGGCCCACTTTGTTCAGCGCAATCATGGGATCCACCAGCAGCTGACCCTCTTCGCCCACCGCCCCCTTCTCGAAGAAGTAGCGCACCTTGTCGCCCGACTCCATGAAGTACAGCTCCTTGCCCTGGGCATCTTCCTGTTTGATGGTGCTGAAGATCTTTCGGTTATTTTGGGGGGCATCCAGACACAGAGCTCTGCCCGCCTGAAACAGGGAGTCCACCTCCTCGGGCGTAAGGAAATCCTCGATGACAATGTAGCCATTTTCATTGAGCTGAAATTGTGGAAGCGGGTGAAGGTCTCCGTTAATTCAAGTATTAATCTTTATAAGCTATATAGCCTTATCGCCTGCGCCGTCTCGTCTGGCCGATCCGGCAATCTCCGACCGGACTCTACGGGGGCCTGGAGGTATTATCGCACCAACTGACCGATTGACCGACTGCATAATGGGCACGCGCTTACTATTTCGAACCCAGGGTATTCTACTGTTATCGCAACGAAAACCACTGCGGCAAAATAATATACGAAACATAGAAATATTTTCAAAGCATTCATTTTAATATGGTAGTCATACTTTAAAACTATTATTAAAAATGTAACATTTAAATTTTACCACCTTTATTATAATTTTATGGTAAATAAAATGTTTTCCAAAAATATAAAATATATTAGAATGACATGTAAACCTCTTGTCTTGGATTTTATAATAGGTTTAATAATTAGCTTTCCTAAATTTAAAAAATAGAAAACCTAATCCTTTTGCACCTTTATGATAGTATTTTTTCCAGTGTAATAGTTCACTGTTTGTTCACCTTTTTAACGTTCGCTAATTAACGAATTCCTGTGCACGTCAAAATGTTAATTCTGCCTGACATAAACCCACAGACCGAAATTCGTGCTCATTCATTGAAATCAGTCAACGTAAAATTGAAAATTCACACATTCTCTTGTTCCTCAATTTCAAAAAGGGTATAATGGATGGACCATCGCGCATGTGAACAAAGCACTATAAAATAGCATCTAAACAAATAAAGATGAATGTTCGATTTGTTGAAAAAGCCATCTCTCCCAGATTTATACCAAACTTTTCGTTTTCTGACAGAAGGGCAATAAAATTTCGGCTTGGAAAACAAAAGATAAATATATCATTTTTGTTGTGGGTGCTCTGTTTCGCTCTTTTTCTCCCGATTCGCAGTGGGATGAGTGTGGTTAAATTAAATAAATTTAAATTGCTTGAGCGAGAATTTTGAAAATGAAAAGCGAGAGTAAAAATAGTCGCCGTGACTCAAAGGCAACCGACGCTTTTCACCTGAAGTGATCGAAAAGAGGAAAGAGATCGGGTCAGCTGTCGATCTAGCAGATCTAACAGATCCGCGAAAATAAATCATCGGAAAAAAGGGGCAGACGAGTGGAGCTTTTTCCGGAGGGGCTCCTATGTAGACACATTACAAAAGGCGTGTGCATGGAAAATTACACCAGAGGGTCAACAATCAGTAGTTGCATTCATCACGTATGCTGCCCGTATGTCATATAACATGCTTAGCCAGCTGATTTGGTAATCGCTTTGAATTTGATAAAGGCAAGTGCAGTGAAGCTTGTTTGCATTAGTTTTGTAATCCACATGTTAAGTAATGGCTTGTTTGAACTAGAACTTGGGTGTAGAATACACAAAGAAAATAAAGACGTTCTTAATTAACAATTTGTTTAAAAAATTATGACCAATTTAAAATTTATCACAATGATAAATGAAAAACACAAGAATCCTCCCACATATACAATTAATTTTGAATTCGAAGAATATACAAATTTTAATTTAATTATAATGTTACCAAGCCCATTTGTGAAGTAACAAATTTTATTCGTTAACTTTTAAGAATTTTTTCCCTCAGTATAGATTGTTTAATAGCTAGCTTGTGCGCAACTTTGTTCGCTTTTAAGTCCGATAAGAAAACTGATTCAATTTTATGCTGAATTGAATATTCAATTAAATCGAAATGTTGCCTATTTGCAAACCAGTTTGTCAACAAACTATTCTAAACCATAATTAAGCTCGAATCGTGGTGGTATATTATTATTATGAGCCCCACACGTCGTCTGGAAACAAGTCTGATAGTCAGAGTTGTCATTCTGTTTTTTGTTTAACCAAATCTCGTTAGGTTTCCAGAATCTGAAAACGTTTCCTCAATCGGCTTTGTCTTTTCTTTATTATGCAGCAACAAAAGAATGTTTTTCCGCCATTGAATTTTCCGAGCCAACGAAATGTTTATGATGCTGATGGTTGTAAATAACACGATGACTCTTCGGGAACAAGTCATCCCAGGATGAGGAGGATGACTAACTAAGAGTGCTTCCAATAAATAATACGATGGCCACCGAAATAGATTTACAGAAATGGGGAAAATCGATCGATCGATTGATTGATTGAATATGACTACCAACCTCGTCCAACAATTTGCTGTGCATTTTGTTTGCCGGTTCTTTGTTTTTTATTTGTTTGGGAATTAATTAACAATTTTACTTTTGTTTTCTATTCAAAGAACGCGAACTTCCGAACTTTTGTTTGTGTTCCGTACTGGGTATCTTTTTCCACAGCGATCGAGAACGTTTCGCACTGTTTGGCGTGTCTTTTGAAACTGATCGGTAGAGAAATTTTCGAAAACGCTTGAAAATATCAGAAGGTCCGAAATCGCGGGAGAGAAATGCTCCCACGCGGCGTTTAACCGTTACATATGTATTATTCTAAACATAGAGAGCGGCGATCGCTCTCCACCTCTGTTAGATAACAGCGAGCGGCTCTGTTGGCGATCAGCGCGTGTCGTTGCTTCTGTTTTGATACCCTCGCTTATAAGGAGGGTACTACTATTTCGGTCAGGCGTCTGTCAATCTTAGAAAAATAATCGATCAACTCTCAAAATATAATTTTTCTTCCTACAAGTATCATTAATTTATGATTTAAATAATATAGACATAGAATTCTTGCTTTTGATAAAAATGATCTTGACGAAATAAAATATCCTTAACACTCTCTTATAAGTGCAAGGGGATACAAACTTCGACTTGCCTTTGTAAACTTTCCTTCGTTTTATTCATATTTCTCTTTTGCTAGTTTAGCTGTTTTTATTATCAGCCCCCTAAAGTGTGTCAGTCTAGCCATTGACTTTGATAAATAAATATCACTTAAGATTGTCCACTATGGTTTTGAGCTTTTGCTGTGGCGCAATCTTCCAGTTGATTCT